GCTTTGCCGCTGAGCTAAATCCCCAGCCCCGCTTACACAATTTTTCTATCAGAAAATTAAAGTTACTCAAAGAACAATTAAAATATGAGCATTCTGTCCTCTCTTCACCATGAAAAAAAATCCTGTAAGGCAGGATCATATAAGCTAAAAAACTTACTTTCTGGGTTTCGTGGAGATAGATTGTAAACAATTATAAAAAATGTCAAGATTTGGATCTTGTTTCCATGAACACTGGCAGTCCTTGTAGTTGTCCAGTGGATTCAGTGCATCCCCATTCCTGGCCTTCCTGGGCTCGGAGATAGGAGAGAATTGCTGATCCTAATTCTGTGTGAGACACTGATTCTGTTCTCCTTCATGCCATATTTTTTCTGTTGGACTCAGTTTTAAGAGAAGCCACTTGTAATATTAAACCTGCCTTTTGTGGGAGGCTTTGTGATATTGCACTGAGTGGTCTCAGGTCTGAGTCACTGTTTTCTTGTGCATGCTTCCACATAGCTCAGCGTGTGCACAGGGCTGTGGACAGTGTGCACCTCGGTGCTTCATCGGGGGCTGGTGACGAGCGTGAGCATCAGTCATCTCTCCGCTCTCCTGGAGACTTTCCACGAGTCCCAGGGCACTTGTTCATGGGTGGCATCTAAGATGAAACAGCTAATTGATTGGGGTCTTCTAGTGTATAGAGCTCAGGGAGGAAAGCAAGGATGAAACACTGGGTACCCAGGTGAGCAGCTCTGAGAACCAAGTGGAGTCAACATTGCCATTGAGGACAGATGCCTCCCCTTCTTCAGTTTTCCCTCTGGAGCATGTCTCATGATTGCGTGGTGGCTGCTGTAGCTCCAGTCATGGTGAGCTTCTACAGCATCCCAAACAAGCAAGGAAGGAAGGAAGGAAGGCACAGGAAGTATAAATCTCTTTGTGTGGAGTTCTTTTTATGTTTAAAGAATTTCCTTCTGAGGAAGGGCTCCCTACCCCCACCACTACCACGCACAGAAAACTTGGCCTGTCTTAATTTGCAGATCCGGATTCAATCCCTCTGCACACATGCACTCTTAGATCAATGTTTGGGCCAAAGGAAGGAAATGACCAATGCTGGCTTAGGATAGTTTGTCATGCTGTGGAGCTGGAGTACTTTGTCTTTCTTGATACCAAATGATCTTTGTCTTGTGTTTGAACTGAACAGGGAGGCAGCAACGGAAAAGGTTGGGAGTGGCTTTTGGGTGGGCAAAACTATGATTACCTTACATTTTTAATGGTTAAACTGAGTTTGTGACTATTTTCCTGGCTCTATCTTAAGAATTGCCCTCTGTAGTGATCTGTTAGACAAGTGTAGAAGTGGGTTCTAAAGCCTAGCCTTATTGCTTGTCCTAACCTGAAGAGAACTAGATACTTCAGAATCACTTCACATGAGCTGTTTTTTACCCCATGTAAATGGAACAAAAATGGCCCATGTTATTAAACCCCAATGAACAAGACTGGTTTGCAAATTAAAACAAAATATTACACACCTTGGCCAGGCTATCTTGAAAAGCCTATCAAGGCTGTTAGTGCAAAGAGGAGGCACAAAAGGCTTTCAATTTTCTTAACTTCCTCCGGTAGTCACGGAGCTACGGTGTATTAAGGACTCCTGCTCTGAGGAGATTGTTGTAGAAACTGCCATAGTGGAAATAACGGAACTCCTCGCCAATCAATGGGAGATAATGAGACCTTTTGTCAGTGATGGTACAGTTCACAGGCGGTTGCTTCTTTTTGCCCTGTGCAATTCAAGCTGGAACAGTCCCCATTTTGAAGACTGCCTTGGTTGATTTTAGTATTTTATGAACCTAGTGAGCAGAGACGTTTTCTCTTTGTGATGACATTTTCGTTAGATTGGTCTTAAATAGTTTCTGACACATTATTTTAAATTAGAAGTAATGTCTGGGGAAAGTATAGGAAGTGGGATCCTATTGATGATCTTTCTTCTTGAATTTGGAGTCTAAATATATAGTCTTATAAACTATGTCTTCCTATAGTAAGAAGTTATTTTGATGAATAAAGAATAATGTGGTGTCATGCACTCTGCACTCTGCCACGTACGTTACGTACTATGATTAGCTTTAAATGATGAGACCTTTACCTGCAGAGTGTCTTGAATTTTCCAGATGCCTTTTATATATGGTATACCTTTTGAGAATTAAATAAATCTATGAGGAGAATGGCAGCACTGGCCGTCACTAATGCCCCATTTTACAAATGCAGGTGTAGAGGCTCAGAGAAGTGAAGATAAAACTCAGTGAATTTCTACCCCAGGGCCTTATGCGTTGATTGTGCTATTTTCAACTCTCTCACCACTCATACTTTTCCAATATCATATTGTTGTTCAGAATATTTGCTACCTCCTCAATTTGTTTCACATCCAGTTGGGTCAAAGGCATATAAGTGGGTGTGTTGTGTATCACTGTCATATCAGAGTGGACACTTGAAGAACTTTTGCAGGGTTCTACCTCACTCTCTGTTCTCTCTGGCACAAAACTGGCAGTGCTCAAGATCAGGGCTTGTCTTTTAGCCACAGTTCCAGAGTGAAGATGACATGGAACCAGTGACAACTGACAGGTGATGGACACATGACATAAGTGAGAAATAATCATGTGTGCCACTGGAAGATGCAGGTTTTGGTGGCAGTGGTGAGGGACAGTTATCTAAATTAATCCATCTGAATTAATTCATCCCAGCCTTGTGTGCTTTGGAGAGATCAGTGCTCGCAACCAAAAGCAAATGTTAGTATAGCAAGTATTGCATCACCAGAAGAAGGGCAGCGTGTTTGGATCATCAGTAGTCTGCTCTGGTACTGCTGTGGGGCAATAGATTTTTTGAAGACGGCAGTTGTAAATTAGCGCTTTGTTGTGTCAAATCCAACATGGTAATTTGGATCTCCCAATTAGTGTGATAATAAGACAATATGTGTCTAAAATTTAGGTAACTCTCCAGTATTTACTAAACATTCAATAGATTATACCAGTCATCATTATTATTGCTGTCATTTTTAATTATTAATGTTAATGAGAGTCTTTCTTGAAATTGTTGCACTCAGTGAAGCCAATACTTTGAAAAAATGGGCTTGCTATATCCATGCTTTTTGGGAGAATTAACATATGGCAAAGGAAACTGATTTTAGGCGGAAGAAGTAGGTCTCATCAGTTCTGTCAGGGGCCCATTGTTAGCAGTGGGATACCAAGCATAATAAGCTACAAAGATGAACTCATTCCTTTCACAGAAAACCACAAGCAGAGCTGTATTCAGGGATATATTTTGAAAAGAAAAATTTTCCTGCATTGGTATGAATTTAATAATTTCATATAACAGAAGCACTGAAATGTGTGGAGCACAGCAATTGATTAGCAAGGTGATTTCTAACTTCTTTTACGTGATTGGAGGTGATGACAAGGAACTCAACCCTCTGAGGGCGAAGAGGCCAGGAAAGTGGCAGAGAAATCAGAGTGCAAACAAGAAACAGCTCCCAGA